TTCGCGGCCTCCCCAAATGCGTTCTCGCGAATGTGTTCGCGACCCGTTCGCGCGAACGGGGAGCACCGCGAACACGTTCGCAGTGCTACGAAGGGCTAAAGCAAAGGGTATGAGCGTAAAGAGTGGTTGAAGTTGACTTCGTGTAGTGTGTGAACTTTTGATTGAATCTTTGATGTGATTGCATTTATGTTTGTCGATCAGATTCTGAATTTGAATTGTCTGCGATCACATACATATATATGTTTGAAGGAAGTCACACTGCGATTGTGAGGAGTGATCGTCTTCTGTCTTATACCCCTATATATATATTATATTTGTGTTGAGGGAAAAAAATATCTCTTTTATCTTTGCTTTTTGGAATTTTTATAGTTGGACGTTGATGTCCGTGGCAACCGTCAAAGTCAAACCCCCTTCAAGTTGACCTCTTTCCAGATCATGAATGATGGAGCTCGTCTTCAAAGCCATAAGCGTTGACTGCCACGATAGGCAGGAGCGTGTTTACCACCCACTCTCCACAGGGTGGAGAAGAGGGTGTGGTTCTCAACCGTCCCGACGATTGTCTAGTGTCGAGAGATTAACCCCTCAAGGAGCGTTTCAACCGACACTCAAGTGTCGAACGCGACCCTGGAGACCATTGAGGGTCACACAATTATGGGTACTACATAGTACGTCACCGTTGTCACTGCTAGCGTATTCATGCATAGCTATTCGATATGAGTAAGTTTGTGTCCTCCCGATATTTATTACTAGTCTCGCGCGAGACGCCTAACCGTTTTCTGTGTCGAAAAGTTATGGGTTGGATACAAAGGGACTAGGAATATTTTGTTTGTGGGAGTAACAAGATTAATTTGTCTTTGGCGTGATATAACGTGTGGTAAGAAGAATGTGTCCTAGTCGACAGGTGGCGAGTCACGCTTGGGACTTTAGGTCCCCAGTGCGTCGGCTTGCGTACGGGTCTGATAGAGGCGTGGGACCATGTGTACCCCCTGTGCTACAACGTATAAGAAACGTCATCGGCGGGTCCACCGTGACCTCTGCGATTGCAAATGATTAGCTTTCGCATTTGGTTCGGTAGCTCGGTGGGGATACGCCGGTTCAAGGGTGTTGACAACCCCTTGGGCGGAGGTAAGTTGTACCTCGCGTGACCCAATCCTGTCGTAGGGGTTCACGAGAGGTATGGCTGTCGCACTCGACCTGAGCGGCGACAAACTCCATTGCACCACGATATAAAGTCGTGCACAAATCCTCCATGATGCGCCCGAGAGGGTCCCCCTGCAGGACCGATACACTCGACGAGACGGTTCGGGTCATTTGAGGGGCTCACGTCGCGACTATGTTTTTCTACAATAACAAGTTAGCACGCCTTGACTCTGTGAACGTTCATGCCCACGAGGCACGTCAGTTGTATCGCGATTAGGCACAACCTCTGGAGATTTTATCTGAATCACTAAGAGGTTGTTATTCCTGCTGTTCCGTTAAGGAAGCCATTACACCTTGGGTTCACGAGGTAATAAAAAAAAAATAAAAAAAAAATGTATGTAGATAGAACCACCGGATGAATAGTATTTGGATTGCCTTGATGATCTCACTATCATGCTTTGGCATTGACGGGTAATTACGGGTGCCGACACAAATGTTAGTACATGCGTTAGTTGGGGGAGAAAACTGTTACGGATAGGGGAGAGAGAAATTTTTTATCATGGGCGGACAACAAGTTATAGGAAGGGTAGAGGTTTTTCGCTCGTTGAGCCGTTAGTTTTACTATTTCAGGAGTCATATAAAGGTAATGCGATGAAACTGAAAATAAATAAAGAAAGATAAAGTACACCTTTGAGCTAATCATCAGACATTGATGAAGTACATCTTTGAGCTAATCATCAGACATTGATGATTAACCAACCCACATCATGCGACAATACCTTGAGGTTGTTCGAGGAGGAGCGTTCTAACTATGTTACGATTCCTCTCGAATCGTTTGAGGCATGGCCCGAAGATTTGATATAAGAGTCATGCCTGTATGTTTCGATTAGTTGAGCTGCAATAAG